TGAAGGGTTTGAGTGGTTGGAGAAAGAAGGAAGAAATTAGGAGATTCATTTTTACCTGAAAATAGTGGCACAGTTCTGCTTTAAATGAACTAGTTCCATGATTTTACAGTTTAAATGACAATGAGCTTTTTAAGGACTTCTCTGGAGCTGTGCAAGAGTTTGGCCCCCAGAGGTAGAACTGAATTGCTCTGTGCTACTGAAATTGCTGGAGTGGTCATGTGGAAGGCATGTTAGGGTCGGCTAGACCGGCTGCTCACTTTGCAGGCGAGGTAGCTGAGGGCCAGGAAAGGAAGGCTTGTGCAGGGTCTCACCGCCGCAGGTGAGGGCGGGGTGCCGTCAGTACCAGAACCAGCAGGTCCTTAATCCTCTTGATCATTTCCCAGGAGAGTGGACTTTCCTAGGATCCTTCTGCTTTTAGTCTGAGTTATATTTATCACTTGCAGAAAATTCAGCAGCAGTACATTTGATGTTTTAAAAACATGTAAGCATAAAATGAATGTTTTTCACCTCCCAAAAGCAAATTTCAGGACTCACCCATTCAAGGCCTTTTTTATTTGATAAAGCTAAAATTTAAAGAAAAAAAATTTCCTAAACAACTGTGTCCTAAATGATATCAAGTGTCTTCGATGTGTTTGGATAAGAAATAATGGAAATAAGAACATAAATTTACTAAGTTTCATACCTCAGGGACTGTAGAAAAAGAACATAGTAACTTACTCTCCTACTTACAAATTGAAAAAGTAGATTTAAAGTGCACTTCCCTCAGTAGTCTCTCTCTTTCTCTACACACGTCCTGTTTATCTGCGTGTGCAGCTGAGTGTTCTCCCCCAGCCCGTGCGGAGAGAGGGAGACGGGCCCCATCGGGCCCCATCGCAGGGGTAGTTGTGAGAAGAAGCCGTGTGGGATGTGAGGAGGTGGGGGGCGGCGGGCAAGGTGAGTTGTGAGCCCGAGAGTGTGGAGACAGTCCCCGCCAGCACAGTGGAATGCTCCAGGGAGTTGACACTAGCTGTTAGTGAGTGTAGCTTTGTCTAGCCCAGTATAAAGTGCTATCGGAGGTATTGTTTCTAGATGTTTGGTAGCAATTTCAAAGCTTGCTTGCTCTTCTGTTAAGTAAATACAGGCTTAGGATCAACCTGAAAGAACAGCTAGCTAATCAGACTATGTTCACTGATGGCAGATTTAGGTGTGAATATAATTCTCATTATGAAATTGTTCTGTCCGGGGCTGTGGTCTCACCCTGTTTGATAGAAGAATATAAGATCTGCTGTGGGTTCCATGTTGGGGGATTTTACTGTGTTTTTTCAAGTGCTGGTACAAGGAAGATCTTAGGAACCATGGGTTGAAGATATTTTGGATTTATAAACTCACAATCACAAGTTTCACCTTTTAAGCAAGCCCAAGAAAAAAGAATTCAAATTAAACATAAAGAATGAAGATAGTGGAAGGAACAGGGGCTCTGAAGCCAAACAGGCCTGGGTTTGAATCCTGTGTCTGGCAATTAGGAGTAGAAGGACATTTGGACCAGTTACTTAAGCTTCAGGACTATCTTGTGCCTTATTTATAAATTGTAGGTATTGATGCCCTTCAAGTATGTTGTGAGGAATAATTGAAATATATGAAAGAGCTGGGTGCAGTGGCTCACCCCTAAAATCTTAGCAACTCAGGAGACTGAGGCAGGAGGATTGCTTGAGGCCCGGAGTTAGAGACCAGCCTGGGTAACATAGCACAATCTCAACTCAAAAAGAAAAAAAGAAAAAATTTATCCAGGCATGGTGGCATGCACCAGTAGTCCCAGCTACTCAGGAGACTGAGGTGGGAGGACCACTTGGTCCCAGCAGTGCCAGGCTGCAGCGAGCTATCATCATGCCACTGCACTCTAGGCTGGGCAACAGAGTAGGATCCTATCTCTTAAAGAAAAAAAGAAAAGAAATGCATGCAAGAGATATCCAGATCATTAGCTAAATAACTGTTAGTTCTCTTCTTCCAGATTCATTCTGCAGACATTCAGTTGAGCATTTGTTACACATAAGACTCTATACTAGGTATTTGGAAGAGGCAGGATCAAAGAAGAATAAGACCTACATATTTAGCTCTAATGAGTTAATGCAGTTAAGTGGGGAAGATACGACATGCACACAAACTGCAGCCCATAAGCTCTGGCCATACTGGCCTCCATGCTGTTTCCAGAACATTCAGGCTTGTACCTGCCTAAGTACTTTGGCACTTGTTCTCCTCTCTCCCTAGAACTAGTGTCTCTTCCTTCATATTACTCAAATATTAATATCATCTTCTCAGTGAGACTTTACCTGATCACCCTGTTTAAAGTGGAACTGCCTGGTACCAGTATTCCTCACCCCTCTTCCCTCCTTTTACTCTTGACAAATATTTGCTTATACATAAGTATGTTTATTTTATGTGGCCCTGTGCTGCTCCTACCTCTTCAGTGTAAAGACCATGAGGATCTGATTTCTGTACTTCCCTATCCCCACTGCCTAGCAGTGCCTAGTAGGTACTCCAGTGTTCATGGAATAAATGATTAATGAAATTAATTAATTTTAGGCATAGGGAGGGGCACGCACAAAGAGCCCCAGTGGCCAGAAACACAAAATATAAGTTAGGGGCTATACTAGTTTTCTATTGCAGCTGCATGATCATAAACTTAGTCACTTAAAACAACACACGTTTACTATTTTAGAATTCTGTCTGCCAGAAGCCTGACAAGAGTGTCAGTGGGTTAAAATCAGGTCCAGTATAACTTTCTGCAGTGACATAATTGTTCTACATCTGAGTTGTCCAATGTGGTACCCATAGCCACCTGTGGCCATTGGGCTCTTGAAATGTGGCTGGTTCATCTGAGGAATTTAATTTTTCATTTGTGCCTAATGTGAATTAATTTAAATTGAAGTAGCCACATGTGCCTGGTGGCTACTGTATTGGACAGTGCAGCTCTAAAGAACTAGGACTGCTGAGCATGCTAAAGAGATCCCAACGGTGTGTCTGTGATAAGCAGAGTAGTATATGATGAATACAGCCTTTTGGTATCAGACAGACCTGGGTTTAAATTTTGGTTCCAAGCTAGTGATTTGGGGGCAAGTCACTTAATCTCTGTGAGTCTCAGTTTTGTTGTTCATAAAGTGGTTATGATCAGTGGTATATCAGGGAGGGGGGTGTTAGATGACCTCTGACCTGGAGGGGAAGAATATTTTACCTCTGAATTGTTTAGAGTTGTTGCATGTTGATAATCATCAGACCTACTTTCCTTTGGTTTTATTATTGGCTGTCAGTGTTCTGTAGACAATGTGTCTTCTCGTTACCTGATCACTCCCTGCCTGTATACCCCACTGGGGATGATCTCACATATATAAAAGAGCCATGTGAAGGTAAAACGAGACCACATGAGTAAAGCCCCCAGCACTGTGCCACATACGTCAAAACTATGGCTTGGTTTTCAGTCATTCAGCAAGTGCTGATCGAGTACCCACTGTGCCGGGCACTGTGCTAGATGCCAGAGACAAAATGGCACACAGGAGGGCTAGAGGACCTGCGTACGCAATAGGAGAGCAGGTGTTTCATAAGTGGTAGCTCATAATTTCATTCTGTTTTGATTGCTTTTTTTTGAGACAAAGTCTCACTCTGGAGTGCCATGGCGTCAGCCTAGCTCACAACCTCAAACTCCTGGGCTTAAACGATCCCCCTGCCTCAGCCATCCAAGTAGCTGGGACCACAGGCACATGCCACCATGCCCAGCTAATTTTTTCTATTTCTGGTAGAGATGGAGTCTCACTTTTGCACAGGCTGGTCTTGGAACTCCTGAGCTCAAATGATCCGCCCACCTTGGCCTCCCAGAGTGCTAGGATTACAGGCGTGAGCCACTGCGTTCGGCCTTGATTGCTTTTTAAAATGCTGGAAGGGCTTGTTTGTTTTGGTTTTAGTTTTTGTGGAAGTCACAATAGGTTCATATGGGTGTAGTTTTACTTATCTTCTTTTATCCTAGCTTCACTGTGATTGATAACTTCATACTTGATAAAGTTATATCTGTAGGTCTCTTACAAATAATTATTTTTCTCTTCTTCCCCTTGATTTAAAAAAAAACAACAGCTTTATTGAGACATAATTCACATATGACAAAATTCACCCAGTTGAAATGTACAATTCAGTGGTTTTTAGTCTCTTTACAGGGTTGTGCAACCAGCATCAGTCAATTTTAGAGCATTTTTGTCACCCTGAAAAGAAATCCTTACTCATTAGTGGTCACTCCCCAGTTCCCTCCAATGCCCTTCGCCCTGGGCAACCACTAATCTACTTTCTGTCTCTGTAGATTTACATATTCTGGACATTTCACATAAATGGAATCATATGTGTCTATCATGATTGGCTTCTTTCACTTAGCATGATTTTTAGGTTAATCCATGTTGTAGCATGTATCAGCCCCTCATCTTTTACTGATGAATAAAATTCCATTGTATGAATATATCACATTTTATTTATCCATTTATCAGTTATGGACATTTGAATTGTTTTCACTTTTTGGCTATTATGAACAATGTTGCCATGAATATTTGTGGACAAGTTTTTGTTGAACATATGTTTTCATTTTTCTTGGGTATATACCGAGGAGTGGAATCGTTAATATGATTAACTGTAATTGGTAATGTGGTAATTGTATGTTTAACTTTTGAGGAACTGCCTGACTGTTTTCCAAAGCTATATCATTTCATTTTCTCACCAGTGGTGTATGGCAGTTTCTGCTCCTCCACATCCTCACCAGTACTTGCTGTTCTCTGTCTTTTTGATTATAGCCATGCTAGGGGGTAAGAAGTAGTATCTCATTGTGGTGTTGCTCTTGTATTTCCCTAGTGATAAATGATGTCAAGTATTGCTTCATATGCTTATGGGCCATTTGTATATCTTTCATGGAGAAATGTCTCTTCATATCCTTTGCTGATTTTTTAATTGGGTTATTTGTCTTCCTTTCATGTCTTTTAATTTGGTCTGAGCAGGATGCTGATATGCTAACTGGCGATGAGCAAGTATGGAAGGAAGTTCAAGAATCCCTGAAAAAAATTGAAGAACTGAAGGCACATTGGAGTATCCTTTCTCCGGCGGATTGAATTGGGCTGCTGGAATCGTTTCCTTTTTGGTTGGAGCCTAGCGTTAACGAGGTCACGGGCAGGGTTTGATCTCTCTATGAACCACTGGTCTTCATTCTGTTCCACAGTCACAAGCCACATCCCTGGCCCCAGCCAGCAGTTTGGGTGATGGCTCGGGAAGATTGTGGGGAGATCAGCGTCAATCCCTCATCACCAATAGGTAATAATCAAAATTCACAGCCCAGTGATAGTAGGAAAGTAAGTAGTAGTATCTATATGTAAAAGGTAACAAATTCCTAAATTCCCTTCCTCCCATAACTGCCTACATCTTTAGGAAAGAAGAGCTTAGAATCCTTATAATTTAATGCCACTAACTCTCAGACCTAGAGGCTCATATTAAATCAGCAGTGACTACAAAGGCAATGAGTGTTGCTACACAATAAGTTTTCTTGGCATAAATAGTAGGGACCACAGGTGGGTCAAACTTCAGAATAAGGAGGGATTGCTTATGATGAAGGTCATCTGGGAAGGGTCCGCTTATGTTTTACTATGCAAAAGATATCCTAAGTCAAGGACAGGATTTGGGTAGGCAGAGGGTGAGAGGGAGGCCACTCCCAGAAAGAGGAGTTCTCTTAAGCAAAAATATGGCCACAAAGGAAACCATAAGGAAAGAAGAGAGAGGGTAAGGGAAGTGAAAAGATTGCAAAAGGTCATTCATATGCTTTGGGTAAATTATATTCCAGGCACTAAGAGAATCTGCAAATGAAGTTTCTAATCTACTGACAATGCTGTTTAAAGAATTTAAGGGATGGGAGAAGTAGATAGATGTTTCTATTTTTTAAGGTAAAGTGTATAATTTCTGAAATTTATAGCCCAGTGAGTTTGTTAGCAGTTTTCATAAAGAATCTAGAATTGGTTATTAAGGAATGGAAACAAAAGCTGTGATTGCCACAATGCTGTATGGATTCACTAAGAGCAAGTGAATCCATAGAATCATGGCTTTCTTTGGTAAAGTTTGCATTTAGATTTCAGAAAGGGACTTGACAAAAAGTAGTCAAGAAATTTGTTAGTTGCTAGCAAAACCAGGAATCTTACCAACTGGTTGAATAGCTATACTGAAAAAATGTTGCTCATTGGATCACTGCCATTCTGGAATATTCTCCTCCCATCTCAGTCTTCTTCAACCTTTGATTCTATACCTTGAATGAAGATACAGAACAAAAGTTCATCAAATTTCCAAAGTGTATAGATGGGAAGGATAGCAGAGTGGGGTAATAGACTCAAGAGCTGAAGAGGTCCCTGAAAGTTTGAATGGTGTCTGAGATTTAAAAGATGAAATTTAACAAGATCGTATATAAATCTTCTATTTGGGTCAAAAAGTTTCAGTGTATAAATATCCATAAAGCCTAGCAGCAGAACGTGTGAAAGAATTTTAGGGTTTTACTAAACAGCAAAATTTAATAAGATTTAAGAGTATAATATAATCCCCTAAAAGATTACTGTGCCCTTGGGCTTCATTAATAGAAATATAGAACATAAAATGAGAGAGGTGATGTATTGGTCTGATCATATCTGGAATTTTCTATTCAGCTTGGGGCAGGATATATTAGAGAGAGATAGAAAAACTGAAATAAGTTTTGAGGAGTGAAACCAAAATCAAGGAGGTATTTGAAAACCTGTCTATAGAAGGGATGGAACATATGGAGAAAACAGCCAACTCTGGGAACAAGAAGTACAGATTTGTGCACTCAAAGAGCCACAAGATGCAGAGGAGTAGACTTGTTCTGTGTGGCCCCATGCAGCAGAATTAGGGCCCTTAGACAACCCAGCTACAATTTGATCTCAGCTGGACAAGGTTTTACTAAAAACTAACTCTGTGCCAGATATTTTGGCATTTTATGATCCAGGCAGAAATTAGAAGACACAGCCCTGCACTCATAACTCTCACACGTGGTAGGGTAGTAAAATGTAAATTAATACATATTTTGGTAAAGATGTGTACTTGTAGGGGCATCTGAGGCACAGTGGTCAACTTTGGGAGGTTAAAGAAAGTTTCCCAGAGGAGGTGACCACTGAGCCATGTCTGGGAGGATCAATAGAAGTTCACCAGGCTACCAAAGTGGAGGAGGCACGTCCAACAGAGGGAATGGCCGGTGCCAATACACAGAATGTGAAGCAGCAACTGTTGAGAAGCCACCAGCTGTTCAGTAGAGAGGGGCAAGCGTGGCAAGGCCTTAAATGCCTTGCACAGGAGATGAGACTTTAAAGGTGAGAGGAAACTGTGGGATGATTTTTTAGGCAATAGAAGAATATGATAAGGTGAGAAAAATCTCTGTGGTTTGACAGTCTTAGACTCTCAAGAAGTTGATTAATTCCCAAGTGAATTTACTCTGCTCCCCTCTCTTTTCCGATAATCCCCTCATGGTCATTTCAAAGTATTCAGGAAACAGAGTATCTGTTCTGTCCATTGGCAGTCTGTTCTCTTTGGGTGGGCTGTCCAGCCCTGCACGGGTCTGGAGCTGAACTCCTCACTGGAGCAGAGCGTAGCGAACACCAAACAAGTGCCACGGACTAAATCTTTGAGCAAATACATGTCAGCATCAGCTTGAGGGAAAAGCCTCTTAGTTAAAATTACTGCTTTTTTTTTTTTTTTTTTTTCTCACTGGGATGTTTTACAGGAAAGGTTTTGTCTTGTTTGCCAGGAGACAGTTGCCAGCATTGGGAAGGGAAGTTGGCACGCAGTCCCTTCCAGCTTGCTGGGGCATAAAGTAGATGTATTCCTGTGAGTGGCTGCAGAACATCACATCTGGCTTTTATTTCTAGGGCTTGTCACCTCAAACCTCTTTAGAATGAGTTGAAACACATATATAAACAAATAGGCAAATAATAGTGGAGGTTGGACAACACAATGTTAAAATAAGGTGCAAGTCTTGCCACGGAAATGTTTAGCATTGTGTAAGAGACAGTCACTCCTCCTGACAGTTCGTCAGATACCTCATGCTGCAATGAAAAGCCAGAGGTTCGCCCAGCAGTCTGTTACAAAATGAGAACGTTGCCTAAAGTACTGCTGCCCCCAACGTCTGGGGGACACATTCAGCACACTGTGAACATACATGGCTGATGAATACAAAAGAAAATCACCAACTCACTGATCTTCATAAGTCTACCTCTCCTGGGATCAGAGCCAACTGCTCCAAGACAGCACTCGTCCTAAAATTATAGGGGTGCGATGTAAAGCACCCTCAGCCATGCACTATGGTGCTTGAAATTCCATCAGGGAAGGACGTTGTCCTTTGGGGTAACGTATTGTGCCTCCAGGAGACCCTTACTGAAAAGAAAATATATTTCCTGTGAGGGTTCATAAAGATATTAGTCCCCACTCTCACATGTGGCTTGATGGGTTTATTCAAAGCCTTTGCTGATGATTTTGGAAAGCAGTGCGCTGAGGGCATGAATGCCAGAAGAGGTGGCTGCTGGAGGGGAGGCCTGAGGAGCACGTGCAGGGGGCTGTGTGTTCGGGGCTGGGCATGCTGCGTTGGGACACTGGTGAAGAGGGCTTTCTGCTGGGGCGTGCGTGGCGCAGAGAGCCCTGGACTGTGAAGAGACTGGGTTGTGTGGGAGCGGGGGTGGGGAGTGAGGAAGTTCGGTCAAACTCAGTCCACTGAACCGTTTTCTTTAAGCCCAGTCACACTGACTGGAAGGTCATGACAAAGAAAGGAAGAAGGTGCTAATATTTGTGTCGCATGTACTTTGTGCAGGATGCTAGAGGTTTTCCCACTGTGTCCCTGGCACCCAGAACCCTGCCCAGCTCGGGATAGAACACACAAAGAATACTTTCATTTTACATGCAGTATCTTACCTAATCCTTACAGTAGCGTTAGGCGTTTTTATTTCTGGCCTATCTCGCAGCACTCCGACTTTCTCAGAACATCAAATATGACAAATGACAGACTGGCTTAGATTTGAGTCTAGCTTCATCTGCGGTCAAAGGCTATGCTATGTCTGCTGTCTACGAAATCTCCAAACTTTTTTCCCTACTGGAATTCCAACCTGTGAAAGCAGATGAATTTGGAGCTCCACCAGTTGAAGGTGGGGTAGAGGTGGGAGAAGGGCCAACCCCAGCCCGTCGCACTCCTTGGTCTCTGCCTCGCCTAAGGCAGCAGCACAGCAGAGGAACAGTGTGAGGTGCAGCGCCCTGCACGCTCACCTGCTGCTGCGCTTCTGAGGTGCTTCAGCTGGGGGCATTCAGAGCTCACTCCGTACACCATATCTGCAGTCTTCTGGCCGCCTCTGAGAAGACGGAATATCAGTTTTGAAAAGTGTGGTCACACCGAGGCTCCTTGAGATTAAGTCGGTTTGTGGTTAATCAGAAAGTCAATATCTCTGAGAAGTGGATATTGGATCTTCTTCCCGTCCTTTCTAAAGTATCATTTCCCCTTGCCAGCTATTTATGTGCATATGCTGTGTTCTTATTATTGTCTCTTACTTTTTGTGTGTAAAATAAGAATACCTTGACTGTACTTAAGGGTAAGTATAGGCTTGAGATCTGGTGCAAATGAATTTCTTCAAACTGCTCCCCCTCGTGTGTGCCTGTGGGGTGGGTGTGGTTTTGGTTTCCTGTCTGCTGCAGACTCAAACAACGCAGAAACAAACATGACGAGCTCCTCCTCTTGAAAAAGGAATCTCTCTCAAGCTGCTTATAATTTCAGATCACTTTTTAAACAGAAGCTAACAGAATAAATTATTTTAAGCTGAACTAACTTAATCTTTAGTTTAATAAAGAGCTGCATTCATTTCATGACTAGATTTAAAGATATACAGGAGCGTAAAGAAAGGGTTCTTGGAAAATTTTAATCCCCAAAAGCACAGGCTTGGTTGGAAGATGGTTTGTTGATGTAAACAGCGTTTACTTAGCGGAGGTGCCACTTCCATGTTTTTGTTTCTCAAGTGTGCTTTCAGGCAGCTCATCTGTGTAAAATAATGGGTGCTTCCTTCCCTCCTGTGGCTGGGAGCTCTTCAGCCTTTCAGGGAATCTCATTTTACTTTTGTTTTTTCTTGATGAAGACAATGCATCCTTAACTAAGGTTAATAACAGAGTGGGAACAGGTTCTGGCCATGTGCCAGACGATTATAAGCGGCAACTCTGAACGGCTTCCCGATATCAATATCTACCAGCTGAAGGTGCTTGACTGCGCCATGGACGCCTGCATCAACCTCGGCCTGCTGGAGGAGGCCTTGTTCTACGGCACGCGGACCATGGAGCCCTACAGGCAAGTCCCAGGGAGAGGGCTAAAGTGAAGGCTAGAATGTCTTTACTTTGGGCAAAGAATCAATGTGGTGAAGTCATTCTGATTATACTCTATATTGAGTGTTGCCGTCTCCTCTCAACCAATGTGTAAGACCAAACCTTGCTGTATTTATTACTTTGTTCATTCACTTATGCATTCATTCATCATTTGTAAAGTTCCTCCCATGTGCCAGGCACTGTGGGTATACAGAGACTAATTAGACACTGTCTTGATGTGGAGCAGGTGATTACAATTTGGCATGGTGCTTGCAATGACAAAGGCAAGCACAGGGTGCCAGGGGAGCTGGAGAGGAGCACAGGGCTCAGACATAGCTTGGGAGCCTGTGTCATTAGCCTCCTGCTGGTCTGAGTAAGGATGGCTGATGTGCGGCCCTCGGGCTGGCTGACAGTAGTGGCGAGCCCTAGCATTTGTCAGGCTTTATCCCTCTACCTGAATCATTGCCTTCGTAACTACCTGTGAACCAAGCAAGAGAACAGGGAGACTGCCCTGCTTCAACATCTCTCTGAGTCAGTGAAGGAGCTATTGGTTTTTGCTTCTTGACTGGCCTCTACTCTTCCAAACCAGTAGGTGTTTTGCTTGTAGATGTTCTTACACTTTGAGAGGGTGGCTGTTGTTGAAGTCAAGTACTGGATGTTTGGCTCTTGTGGGTGCCAGGCCTGATTTGCAATGAGCTAAGAACATAAGTCTAGAAGGTGAGACTGAGATAGGTCCAAGGGAAAGGGCACAGAGACATAGTACCATAATGCGAGGTCCTAATAGCCTCGTCTTTTGCACAGAACAAGGTCACTGCTGGGAAGGCACTGTGAAAGGACCTGGGACCTGGGGAGGTGGCAGAGAGAGGAAGTCCTTAGAGAGCAGGGACTCCATTCTGGAAAAATGTTAAACTTCCCAGCTCTGCAGCCCAAAGGGTCTAAGCAGAGGGAGAATCCAGGACCAGACCTGTACAACATGGGTCAACAGGCAACAGAGTTGGGAGGGGGAAAAGCCTCAGGAGACAATAGGGAGGGGAAGTTACCGGGATCAACGTGACAAGAACAGGAGTGAATCCAGGGTCTAGGATACTGGTTCCGACAAAGGTGGGTGGCCAGAAACAAGGCAGTTGGTCAGGAAGCCAGATCTGGGCCAGGAGCTGGGTGCGGGGTGAGAGGAACCTGAAGATGGCAAAGGCTCCACCGGCCAGGTGGATGGCAGAGGTCCATAGACCAGCCAATGGCACCAGTGTGACCCTGAAGGTGTTTTCAGGGCTTCTGTAGGTGGTTTCTTCCACTGCCTTGTGGGTGAACAGCTTTGGAATCCAGACTGTGAGTCAACTTTAATCAAACTTATAAGAGATTGCCTTGAGGGCTGAGACTGTTGGTTTTCCCATGAGCAGTGGATGTCTGTTCAGTGTGATGACTCTTGTGGGTTCTCAGAAAATATGAACTGCATTCAAAGAGATAAGGCTTCGTGCTCTGAGCCTCGGTGTTGCAACGAGAGGCAGGTCGGGATGGTTGACAACACCTCTCTGAACTCCGGGGCTTGGGGCTTGCTCTCAGCAGCCAAACCACAGGCTGCCGGGCGAGGGGTGGACTCCAGCCAGGAGGCGCAGACCGAAAAGGTCCTCCTTCCTCTAGACTCATGGCAGCAGCCGCTGGCCCCGCGCTCCGGCCACCGCTGCACCATCTCCTCCTGCCCTGCCCTGCCCTCCCTTTCCACATCAGCGGCCGCACTCAGGCCACTCTGAAGACAGAAGCTTTCAGTTGGTCTCGTGCTTCTTAAACATGGCCACACACCTTCAAGGACGCCCATTCTGCATGTTGTTTTTGAATCCTCTTTGCCCCACACCTACCAAGGCTTCTCTGAGGCACTGACTTACCCCTTAATTAACTGGCAGTTTGGCTGACTTAAACTGGAGTCAAACAAAGAGGCCTTTCTTGTGACTGAGGCCAAGTCCACCAGAGTACACTCCATAATCACGTTTGGTTATATTTTTGTGGTGTTTGGCAGGTCACAGTCTCTCTGTAAATGTGTGCTCTGTTCTTACACTGGGTGACAAATTTCCAAGCCTCCCTCGGTGTCTCTTCCCTGGAGCATGTTAAGGAGTTGCTTTGTGTTGCTCTATGTTTTACAAACTCCAGTGTGCATTGATCCACTTCAACTGAGTGAGATCTGAACCATTTGCTTTCAAAGTTATAGTTGAGGAAAAGGCTATAAATAATCCAGAAAGTTAGGAGGAATGGGAGGGGTAGATGCTGTCATACTTTTTTCCCTTTAGCTCAGGCAAAAGTAAAAATAAGGAACTGTGTACAAATGGGTCAAATGCCCTGCAAGCCCTTTTGGAATCTTAGAACAGATGTTGGTAGTGGTTTTCACCCCTCATGTGGACTTGAGGGATTGGCCCCGTGTGCTATCGGCCCGCGGGGGCTCCCTGCAGGGGCTCGGGGCTTTCTGCTCCCCTTTAGCCAAGGACATGGACAGTTAGCTAGGCATCAGTTGCCAAGAGGTGACTGGACTGCCATCTGCTATAGCAGTTTTACAGTGTTAATATACTGTGCACAACAGCTAGATTGAGGTCAAGTCTCTAGTGATGATTTTGTCACTCCTGTCCTTGGCTACGTTTTAATTGCTGACCTCACAGGAGAAAGCATCCCTATTCCATTTTTATCCAAATCACTGCCCTGAGCTCCCTTCTTGATACTCTGTCATTTATTTTTGCTCAATAGATTTTACTCAGATTATATGATACAACTCATTATTAAATTCTTTATGTTTCATAAAGCAAGTTGGAAATAATTCACATAAACAAAATATATAATCTTTAGAATTAGCTTATATTATTATGTCTTCTGAGAGCATTTGTGTGCCTATCTGTGCTTATATTAATATACGCATAGTCATCTGTCCTTTAGCATTATAAACATTAAGCAGAATGAAAAGTATTTCATAAATTTTATTAAAAAGTTTAATTCAGTCAAATCTTAACCATCATATGGGTCAGATTCCAAAAATGACTTAACTGGTTTGTAGTTTCAGACTTGGAATGCATTTTCCTATAAACGATTGTGTTACAGATTATGGTGAGGTCCCTAGACTAGCCCATGAAAGTCTACTCAGCCTATGGCATTACCAATGTATGCTACAAATTTAAAAAAAACAGAGAAAAATACAAAACCAAATTGAATACAGATTGTTTTAAAATTAAGTTTTATATTATGTTGAATACTAATTAAGCTTGATTTTTCTGTAGGAATCAGAGAATGATAAGGAGATATAGAGGCTTTTTCAGGCTTTGAAGGGGACTTTCAGTATATTCACACATGTTCTGTTAACTTAATTTTTATTGTGAAAATAGTATATACTTCTAGGGAAGGACAGGAAGGACAGGAAGGTAAAAATCATGCACGTCTTCAAACTCTTGTCTCACTCCCTAAAGGTAACCATGGCTAGAAGTTTCTTTCTTGAAATATTCTGTGTGAAATTCCCACTGAATATATTCCAAAGTTCTGTATGACTCAAGTCAAAGAGGGAGAATTGAAGATAAATCAGTAATCCTAACACTTGCCAGTATCTCTCAAAAAAAAAAATTGAACAAGTGTTCCATTTGTCATACGCGGAATATTTCCTTCAAGCACCCATTTCCCCATTCTGTTTCTGTTTTCCCAGCTATGCCACATCCTCACCCTCAACCCTCTCCCCCTCACAGCTGTCACCACAGTTCTCCACCTACTCCTCCTCTCCTTCCTTTCTGCCAGTCTTCTTGTCTTACCTGGAGAAAGACTCAGTCCCAATTGATTATTAAATATGCCCACTAAGAAGGCGCGTGGAGGAGGAGGGACAAGAAAGAGAAAAGGGAGGAAGAGGAAGCCAAGGTCTCTCGTAGTGGGCAGAGAGAAAGGGAAAAAATGGGATCGTTCTCTAGCCCATGTTCTATAACTTGCTTTTTTCACTTTACAGCAGCGTGTGGACATCTGTCTAGATCAGCTCCCGAGTGTCTCCCTCAGTCTTTCTAACAGATACGTACTACTTTGTGTCACGAATATACCATGATTTTTAGACCAGTCTCTGTTGTCTCCGTTTATGTTTACTGTGTCAAACAATGCTGTGATTGACGTTCAGGTACTGGTGTCTCAGTGTACTGATGTGGCTGAATCCGTAGGGTAAATCCATATGACAGATTCCTCAATGTTAACTTACAGCATCAAAAGTGATATTCATTCTAAATTTAGATAATGGAAGGGCAGGGGGAAATGGGGGCCAGGAAGAAACTTGTTATAGGATGCGAAATTACAGCTAGATAGGAAGAATGAGTTCTAGTGTTCCATAGCACTGTAGGATGACCACAGTTAATCGTACACAGTTTCAAATAGTTAGGAGGAGGATACTGAATGTTCCCAACACAAAGAAATGGTAACTATTTGAGATGATGGATATGCTAGTTACCTTGATCTGATCATTATGCATCAGATGTATTGCAGCATCACTATGTACCTCATAAATATATATATTATATGTCAAAAAAATTAAAACAAGAAAACAAAAAATAATATGGATAACTATCACCAAATTGTACTCCCACCCACCAGAACGTCACTCTTTCTTCAAGAAAATATGAGAAGGGGTGACATTGATTTTGATTGTATTTGATCTAAATGTATTTCACAGTATGTAAGGGCTTTCACCTTTTCCTGATCAAAGCCTGCATTATGGAATGAGATTGGTCGGTACTGAGTTTGTTGTCCATAAAAAGTGTTTTTGTGGTGGTGGGAATGACATTTGTGTGAGTTACCTGGGAAAGAGGTGGAAGAACAAGAATGATGAGGCGACAAACCGGCCTCATCAGAGATGGGGGGGGCACGAAACCCCGTCAAGGAGGAGAAAGCTAGAGCGTGAGCTTTCAGCTCCCCTAGTTTTCTGTGCTTTGTTGTCAGAAAAAAAACGAGGGTAGGTGGAAAGAGAAGTAAAATGCAGCTGGTAGTTCGTGTACATGACATGTTCACAAGTCAGGTGTTTGTAACTCCAAGATTACCAATAATTACATAGCAGCCACATCCGTTTTCATTTTGCCAGTTATTTTTTAACTTTTCCCTCAAGCTTTGGCAGGTAAGTTGATAAACTGTGAGGCTTCCTCACAGCAGTACCTTCTGTTTTCAAGCTGGCTTTTCCTCTGAAGGCCTACAGCTGCTCTTTTGTGGGTTCTGTCAGTCACTGTGACATCCTAGTACTTGCCGGGCGCCTGTGACATGGGGACTGTGGTGCAGTCGCACCCCCGCCTGCCTGGCCTGCCCGGGCCATTCCCTGCTCTGTGCGGGCTGCACAGACGCGGCGAGGCTGCTGTCCCAGGATGCCTGCGCCAGTGTCTCCGCCAGTGAAGCGCGTTCCTGGAGGGCCGGCAGGTCCTTGCTGCCGCATCTAGTGTAGAACTTTCGTGAACCACGCTCCGGAGTGGGGCCTAGAGAATGTGTCCGAGCTAGTTGTCTACCCAGAGGAGGAAATGAGTATTTGAACTTCATCCAACAGTCTCTTCACTTCTGTTGTTTGCCATTTATTGTCTGTGATGAGGTTTAAAGAATTATTTCACCTAATAAATGAACAAACGTTTTCTTCTCTGCTTATTGATGTGGATGGTAATCCTTTAGCCACTTAATCATTTTTTCCATGCTGTGGTTTTCAATTAAAGTATCTTTGGTGGCAGAACCTTTCTACAAGATTTTGAGCTCTGTGTGTAAAAATGTGTAAAAATACTGAGTTATCTGGCATTTCTAGTCAGGGCCTCTTTCTGTTTGCTGTCAGTTCTGTGAGGTTGATTTCTTTGCCACGGCCCCTGGACTTGACACTGGGGCAGTGACCACTTGCACAGCGATGGGGGAAGGGTTCCTCAAGACCCAGGCATGCTTCATGTTTTAAATAAGCCCTTTTAATGTAATTCGGAAGGGCTCTCTTAATTCAAAATCTAGAAATAAAACAAAAGAAGAAAGTGAAAAAGAAGAAAAAAAGAAGAGGGAAGCAGAGGAGGAGGAGGAAGGCCCACACCTGCCCTTGCTCATGTGGAGCAGGCACATAGACTTGGGGCCAGGGGACAGCGGCTCAGCGGAGCTCGTAACAGGGCTGGGGGGAAACAAGCAAGTTCCTCATTTTCCTGTCTGAGCACGGAAGCGCCCACAGACGAGGTACTGGCAGGAGCAGGTTTCTTCTGAGCCCTCTCTCTGGCTTTCTTTTTTTTTTTCTTGCCACCCCCCTTTCAGATTGCCACTTCAGCTGGGCGTGGTGGCTCACGCCTGTAATGCTAGCACGCTGGGAGGCTGAGGTGGGAGGATTGCTTGAGCTCAGGAGTCGTCAGGAGTTTGACCATCCTGAGCAAGAGTGAGACCACGACTCTACTAAAAATAGAAAAATTATACCTCTGCTGCTTTACTTATAAAACAAAAACAAAAAAGAAAAAGAAAAATTAGCTGGGCGTGGTGGTGCATGCCTATAGTCTCAGCAAAACTCTTGTCTTGAAAACAAAGAAAGCACTGCTGCTTTCTCTCTTGTGTTCTCACGTGGTTGTCCCCTGTGTGTGCATCTCTGGTCTCTCTCTAGGTCCAAATTTTCTCCTCTTATAAGGACACCAGTCGGATTGGATCAGGGGTCTCCTTAACAGCCTGATTTTAACCTAATATCCTCTGTTAAGGCCCTGTCTCCAAATACAGTCACACTCTGAGATACTGAGGGTCAGGGATTTGAGGGGGACATAATTCAGCCCATAACCCTAGCTATATCCAGCCCAGCCATGGCCTCTTGATTATTCATTCCTGGATAATACCAGTCCCAAGGATTGCTTCCCCTGCACCTACTTTCATGAATTTGGGCCCAGTGGAGATCAACTGTATGGCTTGGAAAAATAAGTCCTTACTCTCGGGCTTTTTGCTCAAGCTCAGAGCTCCAAGGATAGCCAGCAGCCCATGCCAGCATGCTCGGGCTTCTGGGAGTGACCGGGCAACCTGGAGACTCTGCTCATCACCAGCCTGCTGGGACTAGGTGGCCACCAGAGGATGCCTTCTCCCAGAAGCCAGCATTCCCGGGGACACTGACGGGGGAATGTGATCACTTGGCATGGCTTGGTATGCAGATTTTTAGTATTGCCTTAAAATCAAATCCTTAAACTCTCACCTACCTTTATCATAAAATAACATATAAAGTAGAAGTTCTGCCCTGAGAGAGAATCTGCCTAAAATGCTTCCAGGTCCTTCAGCTCCATCTGCAGCTGACCAGGTGGTTGAGCATCAGCAAAGATTGTACACTCTTGTGCAGGGGCATTTCTGAGAGCCCCAGGACCATGAGGGGTAGTGCTGAGAAAGCCTTTAGGATGAAGGTGGGTGGCTGTACATTTGGCCAGGTAGTCTGTGACATATGGCGCCACTTGTGTTTTACATTTCAGCCCCTCTTTTGCCTCCCATCCTTACCTGAGGCAAGGATACCAATTCTTCTTTGCTCCCAACCCCTACAGTCATGCATCAACCCTTTCTATTCCTATAATCTTCCCAGACTCTTGAGCCCCCAGGCTAGGCCAGGACCCAGGAAGCACATACCTCTTCTCTCTTCCCATCAGATAGTGATTAGGAGCACAGCTCCTGATTTCAAATCAGGATTAATAATCTTGCGTTATTGCCACCTTCCATTAAACTTGAATTAGACCAAGAACTAGATCAGGGTCCAGGATCCCCATCCCTGGAGTCATCCCCTTCTGCCTGTGGCTTATCCATGTGATACGGTTACCCTCGTACAGAAATGATACTGTCCTTGTGGTGGTAACACGTCTGAACGGAACCCCCTTCCCCACATCCACAACACTTCTGTCCACCTCGTTTGACTAAGAAATGTGGTCTTCTGTCTCCACGGACCACTCAGCCACCCAAACGCTGGCTTTGGCCACCTCCTTGTTTTTTGTTTTGAAGAGCATTGTTAAGGGCCCCTCCCAATCACATTCATATACTGGGAAGTACCTGGGCAAACAGAAGTCCAAGGTCTGGTAAGTGCAGTATTCAACACTGGGTTCTAGGGAAATCACCTAAGCGACATGCTGTTCTCCTCAAATTCTCGTCCGTGCACATCTCTAACCTCTGCTGGAGTTGGAGTGTCCCCGCCCCCTGAGCCTCTTCACAGTCTTCAAACCTTTATTTTGAAGCAGTATGTAAAATATCCTTCCAATCCCACCTCCCTCCATTTGTCCTTCACCAAATCCTGCTCCTTCTGATGCTCCAAGCCCCTCCCTCAAGACTAAGCTCACAAGGACCACGTGCAGGGGGGAGATGCTGGATTCTCCATGACAACGTGACTCATTCTAGCACTTGGTCTACTGGGCAGGTTCAGACCAGGAGCAGAGCCACTAGGATCTGCCTCACCCCTTTGGATAACTCCCTAGTAGAAGTTTTTCTCCATCCCGGAGGGTCCCCAGCCCTGCCTGCCTCGGTAGGGTGTCAGGGAAAATAGAAGTTCCTACCTGTACCTTTCTCCCAATCCACAGATGCTCACAGCTCATAAAAGCCTTCCTTTTCCTGCACTCTAATGCTTCACATGGTGATTCCAGGATCTGTCTTCAGAATCCCTTTGTTTTTCTGTCCTTTGTTGTTCTCCTCCTTGGAGAGCTTTCATTCTGGCTCATGTGCATTCTCTCTGCTCACTATCTATATCGCAGACCCTCTTTTGCTGCCCATCCCTACCTGGACAAGGTCACCAATTTCCCTTTACCTCAAAATCCCACAGCCATGGACCCACCCCATGCATTCCCAACCTGCCTTGCTTGGCCCTTGAGCCACCAAGCCAGGCCAGGCCACAAGGAGTATTTTTCCTCTGTTGCATTTGCCTGGCTCCCAGCATGAACAGCTACGCTGTGGGGCAAGGTGGAAGCCATGCTCCATGCATGGGGCTAGGTCGCCTGCATAAGAATACATTTCCTTTTTTGTGTTCCACCAATATACATGAGCAATGTATATGCTCTGAGAAATTGTCTTTAGTTTTCCTATTTATGAAAGCATTTCCAGAATAAAAACATTTCCCATTGTAGGTCACTTTTTTTTTTTTTAACTTTCACAAGCCATCACTGAGCACTTTGACTTTCCTGACAGAAAATCTTCAGTTTCTTATTACAACAAATTGTACCCTAAGCAGCAGGATATAAAATTTAGGGAATCTTTTGGGATGCATTGAATTTCTCCTGCTGAATCAATCTCTTGCTTGGCTGCCCCTGCAGCTACAAAGCTGCTATCTCTTTTTCTCTTCTCACCCCCTGAAAGAGAAAGTAGGAAAAAAAATCCCATTTCCCCTGTTGGGAGCCAACAGAAAATCAGGCAGGCCTGAGAAATGGGAAATGATGGATCTAACTTTGAAAGACTCAAAAAGAATGAAAAATCCATTTTAATTTTATAAAAAGTACACACTTTGTGACTTTTAAAAAATTTGACCAGCATGCTTACATGCTATTTATTTGTGTATTTTGAGTGAATTTCATACTGAGTTTTCAGAAATTCCCTAAGGACAAATGAATAGACCTTCAATTAAATTGCACAGATAAAACTGATTTGTCAAACCTCGTAAGTGTGATCACTTACAGAGAATGGTGATAGCATTTGTAACGAACAGTAAGAGGTCCTTGAAAGAAATGAAAAATGGAGTGTAAATGACCCTCAAAATTATATAGTTTCCAGTTTTTGAGATTGCCGAGTTATTTTAAGCAAGGAAAATATCCTCTGGGCTAGCTAATATAAAGCTTTTGAGCTCATGAGAGATACTGAATGGAAAAACATATAATATTCTCATTGTTAGATGTAGTCAAGGGAAGTGGCCCAGCCAGGTGCTGGGGAACGGGAGTAGCCAGAGACTATAGCTGGCTGCAGCTCTTGAGGAGGGAGAGGGCAGGGGCTCTCGAGCAGCGAGGGGGAGTAGAGACAGCGCCCTGCTCTGCAAAGAGTAATATGGATGATGGAAATTGCTCTTGTTGCACAAAGGACACCAATCATACTAACTCTGCCCTTCAGTTTTAAAGAGGAACAAATCTGCTCTCACTTATAATGGGAGATATCACCGTAATGTCCTCCCAACGTAAGATAAATCAGGTCCAACCATCATAAAAGCATCTGTCAGCTATTCGTTAGCACCATCTTTCTAAAAGAATAGGTGAAAGGACTTTAAGAACTCTCCTACCTTTCAACTCTCTTACACTGAAAAGTAATTGCTGCTATTTATTAAGCACCTACTTGGACCAAGCAACTTGCTTGTCCTTATAATCTTCACAGCCATGGTGAAGAAGAAGTTAGCCTGTCTCATTCTTTATAGTAGGAGGCTGAAGTTGAGAGTTATGTGACTTGCCAAGGTTCAAACTCAGGCCTTGGGTTCATTTGTTTTATTCCGATTATAATTTTTACAAAAATATTTTCATAGCCTGAACCCAGATTTGCTTGGTTACAAAGGTGTAGACGGTTACTGCACAGCAGAGGGCCATAGTGATCTTTCCACTACACCACCCTGTCTTCCTACCATGTGAACCTCTCAAGATTCTTTCCATTACAAGTGATGGAAGTCCCACTCAGAGTGCCTGCCCACACGGCTGCAGAGCTAGGCACAGGTCTGGTGTGGCAGAATTCAGGGATGCAGTCTGGGCCATCTGTCTCTCTCCTCCTCTCCCTCCTTCCCTGGATTGGTATCTCTCTCTTGTGCTCACTCCTCTGTGTTGTCCTCATTTTCTCCCACACAGATAGTCTTCCTCACAGTGTGGTAGGGCAGATGGCTTCCAGCAGCCCCCTGCCCCAGCCCCATTCACATTCTTTTAGCTCTGTAACAAAAGAAAAGATCCTGTTCCCTCCAGCACCAAATTTTAAAAATATATATTTTGGATGGGCTTCTTTGGCCTCTTCCAGTCTTATGCCCACCGCTGCCTGCACAAAGGGAGGTGAGGTGATGGCAGCCCTCCTGGCAACGCAGGTGTGAAATGAGACAGTAGTTCTTCAGAAGCTTGGAGGGTAGGCGGATGCTAGACAAACCAGAACAGATGTCCACTGTACTCTTCAACTCCAAGAAATCGTCTAGTATGAATTTCAGATAGAAAAAGATTTGAAGGTAGCAAAGAGAATTCAAAGGGTGGCAAATAAAGAGACTGTGATGTAAGTAAGAAGCAGCAGCTCAGCATCATTATGGTTATGCTGTAGGAATGAAGTTTTGCAAGAGAAGATTCCCAGAATTTCAAAGGGAATAGCAGGACCTGCCAGGACCAGAGCACAAGCTGGCTGCCTGGGAGGAAGTCTGTTAGCTGTAAGAGGAAAAGACGGATGGGGAGGTGGGTGCAGTCTTACCTG